CAAGCTGGCCCTGTTCGTCGACGGGGCGCAGGGCCCGTTTCCAGAGCCTGCCAGGGAGTTGCCCCCGATCCAGAAGAGAGTCTACCGCCCGTAGAAGCCTTGAGTAAATCTGACATGCCGTCGTGGCCGCGGTTGCCTCGGCCGGGAGGGCCCCGCCGCGGCTGCGCCCGCGCGGCCCCGTCGCGGCTGCGCCCGGGAAGGAACAAGGAGCAATCACATTATGAATAATCATACTAATCGCAAGGAGCGCGCTATGCAGACCGCCGTGGTGCCGCGCGGTTCGCGAGCGCTTCGCAGTCCAGTCTGGATGGTATTCTTTTCAACAGCTTCAACCCCGCTTCAAGCGAGCCTTGTTGACAGCTCCCCGCGTTCCTCCTCCTCCTCCTCCTCCTCCTCCTCGCCCCGCTGCCCCCTCCCTCCCGTTTCGGCACGCCGCTCACCCGTTTCGTGGCCCCATAGGGAACTCCACCGAAGGCCCCAGTGCCACCGCCCGCATGCGTCACGCACACCCATTTCGGCACACCCCTCACAAGTTTCATGGCCCCATAGGGAACTCCACCGAATAGGCCCCAGTGCCGCCGCCCGCATGCGTCACGCGCACCCATGTCTGCACACCCGTCGCACGCTTTGTGGCCCCATAGGGAACTCCACCGAAGGCCCCAGTGCCACCGCCCGCATGCGTCACGCACACCAATTTCAGCACACCCCTCACTTCTTTCGTGGCCGCACAGGGAGCTCCACCGAAGGCCCCGCTGCCGTCGCCCGCATGCGTCACGCACACCCAGTTCGGCACACCCCTCACACGCGTCGTGGCCCCATCGAGAACTCCACCGAAGGCCCCGCTGCCACCGCCCGCACGCGTCGCGCACACCAATTTCGGCACACCCCTCACACGTTTCGTGGCTCCATAGGGATCTCCACCGAAGGCCCCAGTGCCACCGCCCGCATGCGTCACGCACGCCAATTTCGGCACACCCCTCACTCGTTTCGTGGCCCCATAGGGATCTCCACCGACGGCCCCAGCGCCATCGCCAGCATGCGTCACGCACGCCCATGTTGGCACACCCTCGCGCGCTTCGTGGCCCCGTAGGGTCAAATCTGGCATGTCCCTCTACATGGGGAACTTTCAATAATAATCGAACAATTGTATTGGGGATGTTTCACGTCATGATCAAAATGCTCCCAACATAATTTGGACATCGGTTTCTGGATGCGGGCTGGGCGGAAGCACGATGCGCGCGGTGGGAAAACGCGATGCGCCGCGCGGCGCCGCCATCGTTTGTCTTGCCGCACTGGGTGGCGGCAGCGCGCGCTATCGCGTTTCAGCAGGGGCGTGCGTCTATGGCGACGTGGTTTGCGCAACGTGCGCAATGAGGGTCGACCGCGCGCTGCCATCGTGGACTTGGTGGCGCGGCGCTGCGATGATATTCGCGCGCAGCGTGAGCAATTCGACGAGCGCCCCCAGGGCAGCCGACAGTGGCCCTGCAGATTTGGATTTTGTGTTTTCCCTCCAATCTCGTTACGCGCATCCACAAAATCCGTTTGTGGCCGCTGCAATTCAAGATTTCGCTGCAAAGCTCAAGTCATCTCCTCTTTTTTACCCCCGTGCGCGCCAGCCCTGTGCGCCCTCCCCGCCCTGCTCCCTCTCAGTAAGGGTGGCGCGCGTGAGCCGGCGCTGCCCGCGTTCGGCCACTGGGTTTCTTTCGGCAATCGCGGTGGGTATATTGGGCGCGGGAGTAGCCTGACCGGACAAGGTATATCCCCTGTGATGCCACCATCAAGTAGATATGAGTGGAGTTGGAGTTGAGATGGAGCACGGTCGGTGTCGACTGGTGGCTGTCCGTGAGTCAGGCTGCAAGTGGGCGCAGGATTAGGTTGAAGCCGGTTCCGAGTAGGGCAGCATCGGAGTCGGCGTAGAAATCAGAACCGCCATTTATATAAGAGAGAAGAGTGGGTTTGCAGGTGCCGTTGTAGTGGGGTAGTAGATAAGTGTGCAAGTAGGCGTGTGAGTGGGGCGAAGTGCGATCGGGGCTACATGTGTTCATCCACATATAAACTTTCGAGCGCAGCATAATTTATTTCGCGCCCATTGGATCGGCAAGATGGTCGGGCGGATCGCGCGGAGCCGAGTGTCGGGCACGTTCCACCCAGGCGGAACAATATTCTTACTTGCGCGCGCGTGCGCGCATCTATATGCGCATATTCATGTGCGAAGGTCGGCGGGCCCAATGCGCGCGCAGCGAAGCTGGGCCGGGGGCCCGCGGCGCCCCCCAGTCGTCGCCGGCGCTTTCGGGGCGCCCGGAGCACAGACCGTCGCCGTCGCCGGCGCAGCAGCAGCAGTTGCTTTTCGGATGCCCAGAGCCGACGTGCCCCGTGAGTTTACAAAATATTGCACGATGTCGCGCGCTTGCCGACCACGCAAAATGCCCCTATTTGAGGATTTCAGGCACAGTGTGCGCGTGACAAACTGCCAAAATATATTCCGCAGTTTTCAACTACTCACAGAATGCTCCCCTCAGATTTTCGCAAATTTCAACGCGCTCCAAAAGTGCCCCCGCAGATTCACGCGCCCAAGAAATACTCGCATCATATGCGGAACTGATTAAAGCATACACTCCAGTGCCATTTGGGAAATTTCGCAATGCCCCAAATATATTCCAGTGCCATTTGCGAAACCTCAACATGCTCCACAGATGCTCCAGTGCCGTCTGCGAAATGTCACAATACTTCTGGACATTCCAATGCCATTTGCGAATTTTTCAAATGGCCCAGTGTAATTTGCAAGCCCTGAGAATACTTGGAAATATCCCCCTGCCATTTTCAAAGTTTTGAAATACTCCAGATATGTTCTCGCGGCGACCTCAGATATTTCAAAATACCGCAGGAGACGCTCACCGACCATCTGCGAAACATCAAAACACCCCAGAAGCCGCGCGTTACCATCTTCGAGATTTACAAGTCCCCCAGGAGATGCCACCGCGTGCGTTCCGGAAAGCATCGTCTTGGCGGCCCTTGTTGCCTCCCCATGAGAACGCGAGAATTTTGCAGTAATCCCCCCCCCGCTCTGCCCCTTCGCCCGACATCGCGCCGCTGCGGCATGTGATGTAGTGGGTTCGCTGGCAATTCAAATGCCCTGCGTCAGGCCTGCCAAGCGCGCGACGCGCGCTGCTGATGCGGTGCCCGCGTGGGCTGAACAGCGTGCCGCAATGTTGCCGAGTGCATGTCGTTCCGCGCCGCAAGAGCGTCGCATTCCGCGTGCCCCACCCCGCTGGGTGACTGGCCCCCAATGCGCGCGCATCAAACATGCGACGCGTCCCACGCGCGTTGCGCAGCTTCCGGACGGAAAAAAAGGCCGGGACGTTTGCATTCATGCGTGGATGCAGTTTTCCCGCGCGCTCGCCTTCGTCATTCTTGACGAGCGTTTGCGACTTGGGACGGGGGGGGAGGGCGCGGGGGAGGGGGGCCAGTCGATCGGTCGATCGGGAGATAGATCGACCGACCGATCCATAGAAGGACGAGTTTGCGGCGTCTCGCCAGCTCCAGGGGGCCCTTATCTGGATTTTGCGGTGCTTCCCGCTTGCCATTTGCGCGCGTTGCGATCGGCGATTGCGATTGGACCGTCCACGCGTTTGGATGTGCTGTTCTCTGGTTGCACCCTCGCGCGCCCTCAGGGCACGCGCTGCGTCTGTCGCTCGTCTTCGAGGCGAGCCCAGTGGCAGCGGACCGCGTGGAGTCGGCTGGGCGCGCAGCGGGCTTGAGTCGCTCTCGCGCGAACGCGAAGCCATTGAATGTGCATCAAGTTTGTTTGTAGCGAAGTAGATGTGGCCATAGTTTAAGCGGCGTTGGGAAGGCGCCCCCTTTGTTTGGCGCGCAGGGCGCTGTGCATTTTACGCGCGCCAAAACACGCGAGGGGCAAATCGCAAAATCAAGGCACCCCCCCTGCGGGGATCGTGGTTTGTCCGAAGTATTTTCAGTTTTTTTCACATGTTTATACATATTAATTGAATAGGTATGTATGTATGTAAGTAAGTAAGTATGTATGTATGTATGTATGTATGTATGTATGTATGTCTATATATGTGGTTCAAGGCGCGTTATATTCGGGCATGGAGTGCTTTACTCTCACATCTTCTGAACATGGTCAGTTCGATCGCTTCTTGCTTGGCAAGATCCGTAAGCTCATGCATGGTACAGGTTGTAAGAAGCAGGTCAACAACGGAGTCACCCGCTACACGGCTGCAGATTCTCAACAAGTATGGCGATGGATCCGGCTTGCGCCGTCGCAGATCGAGCTACGCATACGACGCCTCCAGTTCTGGCAGAGGGTGTCTCGATTTCCCCACGACCACAACCAACTACTCGCCACTATGTTTGGGCAGGCGCCGTGGGAAGAAGAACCGATGGTCGACGCAGCCGGGAAAATCACTGGCAACCCTCACAAATGGATTGCGCTGCTGCAGGCGGACATTGCCGAGTTGCTTTCACTTGACTCCGCAGACGCCCTCTCGCACGCTGTGGGCGAGAATCTGTTCACGATCTTCACCTCCAATTCGGATCTCTTCGTTGCTATCGATGCCACCGAGCTTCGCCAGAAGTACCTATCTGTCGAAATCCCACCCCCAGGTCACGTCTCGCAGCCTGCCGATGCAGATCCAACGCCTCCTCCTGCCGATATATTTATGCATGTGTGTGAAATACCGACACCGGAAGGCGGAATTTGTGGACAAGTGTTTCCGACTGCGCAGAGCCTGGCAGTGCACCAAGCTCACAGCCAATCCGAAGGCCATGGCCAAATTCTACAATCCACACTGGCCACAGTCACAAACCAGTGCCCCTGGTGCCGGAAGGTTTTTGCATCTTTGCGAGTTGCGCAGTACCATGTACGACAAACTATCGCTAGAGGGTATTGTGTGGGAAGAGGGAGTGCTACTCATCATCATGTTCATCCTCCTTCTTGCCTCGCTTGCCCCCTGTGTAGCCGTACTTGTGCTCGATTGCCAGAACTCCAGCAGCATATATCCGGACATTTCGTGCACATCCGGCCGGATGGACGCCCTCCTGACGCCGGCTGATGGCCGCCGTGCCCAGCGACAGCGCGTGGGTGGCAGTGCGGCAGAGGAGCAGGCACAGGCCCAACTCCAACGGGAAATTTTGACCTTGGTGGCCCAGCTCGCCCTGAAGCTGGACCTGGATGTGCGCGAGCTGCGGGCTGCCACGATCACCACCGTCGTCGCGAAGAGGACGGACCCCATCATTGAAGCTGGCCAGAACGAAATGACATCCTTCGAGGAGCGCCTCAAAGAGCTCCGGGACCAGAAGGCCGACACGACCGAGGCGGGGAACAAGCAGGTGCGCCTCTGGGCGCGCATCGTCGACACCATCGTGAAAACCGACCACGGCCCTGAGCTCAAGCAGGCCATCGACATACTGAAGGAGCACCACGCCGCCGTTACGACGACCACCTACCTCGCCGAGCGCGTGCATCTCTGCAAGTTCAGGAAGGCCTTCGACAAGCACTCGGTGAAGCTTCACTTCGCGGTCGTCCCGGAGATGGCTCCCATAATGTATGCCATTGTGAAGGTTCTCGAGGCCGCAGGGGCCAAGCGCAAGACCGGCCAGGAGGCCTCCGGCTCTCTCGTTCGTGAGCTTCAGAACCGGCTGGACCGTCTGAGGGAGCTGCGGTAGAGGTCCTCTGCGGACTGGTAGAGGAATGCCCCGCCAGATTTTGATTCCCGTTGCTCTGTGTCTCACGCCGATGGATCCAGAGATCCAGACAGTAGGGACGACAATCTGACATGATTGTGCAAGTGCTTCTTTGTTACTCTCGCCGCTTCCTTGGCATCCCTGGTCCCTTGCTGCTTCCTCTCTTGCCGCCTTCCACCCTCCATCTCTCGTCTTCGGAAGCCGGCTCAGCAAGCGCTGGGGCGCATGCTGCTTGCCCGAGGCCACCGGTCCCTTCCCGTTCTGGCCCTGCGACAGAGCAACGATTTGTTCCTGGCCAGGGGCGGGGTATCCAGGTGAGCCGTTTCGGCCGCTCCCCCCCGTTTTTCGTCTGAAAGGGGGGGCCGTGGCTAGGGGGGTCTTTGATTTGATCGCGACAGGCGTCGCTTGCTCGTGCCTGGCCCCTCCAGTGGCCACAGACACGTTCCGAGACCGAGACCGAGATGTCTATATATGTATGTACACATATGCATATATACTGTATATACACGTATGCATATATACACGTGTAAAGTTTTATGAGCAACGACAAGCAGGTTTTTGCATTTTTCTCTACCGTCCTGTAGTGTTGGGTCCTCGCTCTACAGAGGTAGCGCCCTGCGCCTCCTCGTTCCTTAGTTCATTCCTTCCTCCCTCCTCCCTCCATCCTCCCTCCTCCTTGCATTTCGCCCGCCCATGTGCTGCGCTTCGTGGCCCCATGGGGAACTCCACCGAAGGCCCCAACGCCACCGCCCGCATGCGTCACCCACACCCATGTCAGTATATCCTTCACACGTTTTGTGGCCCCATGGGGATCTCCACCGAAGGCCGCAATGTCACCGCCCGCATGCGTCGCCCCCCACCCAGTACGTCGCTTCGTGGCCACATATGGGGCTCCACCGAAGGCCCCAGTGGGGCGGTGCCGCTGGGGCATTCGGCGGAGCTCCCATGGGGCCACGAAGCGCGGTGCTGGGTGGGGGTGGCGCGCAGTGCTGTTGGGGCCTTCGGTGGAGCTCCCTATGGAGCCACGAGGCGCTGTATTGGGTGGGGGTGACGCATGCGGGCTGTGTCCGTGGGGCCTTCGCTGAAACTCCCCATGGGGCCACGAAACGCTGTATTGGGAGGGGGGTGACGCGCGCGGGCGGTGGTACTGTGGCCTTCGGTGGTGCTCCCTATGGGGCCGCGAAGCGCTGTGCGGGGGTGGGGGGTGGGGCGAATGCGGCCGGTCCCGCTGGGGCCTTCGGTTGAGCTCCCTATGGGGCCACGAAGCGCTGCACTGGGTCGGGGTGACGGATGCGGGCGGTGCCGCTGGGGCCTTCGGTAGGTTCCTTACGGGGCCACGAAGCGTTCTACTTGCGTTGTACTTGGTGGGGGTGACCGCCTCATCTCCCGCCCAGTACAGCATTTTGTGGCCCCATAAGAAGCTCCACCGAAGGCCGCAGTAGCATCGCCCGCATGCGTTACCCCCCGCCCAGTGCAGCGTTTCGTGGCCCCATAGGGAGCTCCACCGAAGGCCCCCGCCCGCATGCGTCCCCCCCACCCAGTACAGCAACGCGCCGTGGCCGTCAAGGGAGTTTTACCGAGATGATATTCACAATTGCAGTGCCCGCAAGTGCATATGGTTGGGTCCTTCACCCGGATAGTTTTTTTCCCATACATCCTGTGGTGTTGGGTCCTCGTTTTGAAGAGACAGCGCCCCGCGTCCTCACTCCTCTCCTCCCTCCTCCCCCTCCTCCCTCTTCCATCACAATCATCATCCGTATCATCATCATCATCATCATCATCATCATCATCATCATCATCATCATCATCATCATCATCATCATCATCATCCGTAGCCATTTTGGCTCAAGGCTCTCCTGCGTGTCAAGCGCAGGCGGACACCACTGGAACCGCAATATCTTCTCTGTTGCCGCGCGCGCGGTTCATGCTTTGCCGCTGCAGCGGGTTTCTCGTCTTTCTCGCACGTGTACTGCTGGGTCTGAGCCAGGAGATTTCGCCATGGGGGATTCCAAAGAGCGTGCTGCCCATGCTGACAAGCGTCCACGCCTCCAGGACGGTGCTGACAAGTCGGTCTTCGCCACTCCTGCCGGCGACGAGGAACTCGAGCCCCAGGTTGATGAACGGTTCCTCTCCTTGGTCCGCGACGCCCTCTCCCAAGGACATCCAGCAGACCGCCATGGATGCCATCCGTGACGTCGCCACTGCGGCCGCCACGGCTTCCGTCACCGAACAGTTCTCGAAGGTGGAGCTCAGCATGGCCCGAGCTATTTCCAAACAGGACAAGGTCTACCAGGCGCAATTCGCGTCGCAGGCGGCTCAGGTCGCCACTGTATCATCGAGCGTGTCCCGGCTCGAGCAGCAGCAGGCAGAGCTCCAGCAGCAGGTCGCCGACCTTTCCCAGCGCATGGGCCTCGCAGAGCAGCCTACGGCCACCACACGGGCAGAGATCCAATCAGCCCTCAAACACATTCCTGCGACGGAATGCGACCCCACCATCATCAGGCTCAACACCGAGGACTTCGTTTCACACGCAGCGGCCCTCGCCCTCGTCACCGAGCTGGCCAAAGCCGCCAAAGTCGCTGAGCACCGGATCTCCCTCATGGGCGGCGCCGTGGAGAAGAACTTCACCATCCGCGTGGCTGGCACACCTGTTGCTGCCGCCACGGCCGTCCAGGCGATTCTCAACCAGTGCCGCGATGGCAATGGCAAGTGGAAGGTCATTACTATCAAAAATCCAGGCGGCCCAGTCACAGCCTACTTATCTCCGGATGTTCCTCTTGCGGTCCGTGCACCTCAACTGCTCTCCAAACGGCTTTACAAAGATCTTCAAGTACGTCTTCCCCAACATGCTGACCAACTTCTCTACGTCAAAAAATCATCCTCTATCTTCTTCAACACGGTATGGATCGCTCAGGGGCGATGGGACGACACCAACGACAAAGCCGCGATCTGGGCCAATGACTTGGAGCTGGAGCGGACGGGCATTCCCCAAGGCAGCCTGGACTCTGCTATTGCTGCCTGCCGGTCTGTGGCTGCTTCCTCCGGGAGCGGCAGCGCGTCTCGTCCCCAGGCTGGCTGGACGATGCATTCTATTTAGCCTTTTTTTGGCTATGGGCCGCCCTCCTGGTACTCAGCACGCTCGCTTTCAACATGTCTCTTGGAACGTACAAACCCTTGCGAATGCTTCCTTGCGACGGGCACGACAGAAATTGTCTTCCCTGGCCAGCCAACTCAAAGACGTTGATGTCTTCTTCCTTCAAGAAGTTCACGGTGATGATCAATACGTCGTCGACCTCATGCGGCCACTGGCTGACAAGTTCGCTTTCGAGTATTCCGCCACGGCCAATGAGATCTCTGGAGGCGTGCTCACTGCTTGGTCCAAGTCTTGGGTTGGCGCGGCTACCGTGCAGCATGCGAATATCGTTCCTGGACGTGTTCTTGCCGCAACTTTTCGTTACCAAGACTTGGAACTTCGCTTTGTCAACGCGCACAACTACGACCTCACGAGTGCACACTCCCAGGACCAGGATATCCACAACCGCATGGCCGCCGATTGGGACTGGATGAGCGCACGCCCCGAGCATCGAGCTGCTCTCTGGTCCGGTGACTGGAACATGGGCCCCCCTGGTTTGGACCGCCACTATTTGGAACGCCCGGAGCTTCCTCGTCCCAGCTTACCCCGGAACCTTTCCCGAGCTGACCACTACCTCTCGCAAGGCATGGACAACTTGATTGAGATCCGCTCCCCCCACATCACCCACTACCACAGGGCCTCGGACTCGCTCTTTACTCTTGACCGACTTGCCTTCTCAACATCCTCGTGGAGCCTTCGGCCCCACTAAGCCCGATGGAATGTTCTCGCCTCGACATATCAGACCATGCCCCCTTCAAGATCGAGATTCGTCCTCCTGATCCTATTCCCGTCCCTCAACAACGTATCCCTTGGGATGTTGCTCGGAGCCCTCTGTTCCATCGCATCGCTAAGGAGTGGATGGAGTACGCCAATGTCGAGCACTTCCTTGGCGCAGGCAAGCTCGTCGCGGCGAAGTCCGTTCTCAAGGTGGCTTCTATTAAGGTTTGCAATGCTCTGGTCCAAAAAGGGGGCCCTATCTGGGCGGCCCTGATGCTTCTTACCACGATCTCTCGATGTGCGTGGCGGAATGATATTCACTTGTATGACCAGCTCGCTCTTCGCCAGCCTGACGCTCTTCATTATATGGAAGTGTTTCAAGGCAACGTCCGCCTCCGGGATCCCATGCCGCTCGAGGTTACCACGGCCGCGGCTAAGAACAAACAGTTCGCGAAGGAGGAGTCGGAAGAGCTGGGCGAGCTGGGCCGCCCTATGAACGCCGCGCGTCCGACCTCCGTGTCTTCCGCGCGCTCGCGGAAAAAAAGCGCAATTTGCGCTACCGTAATTTGTGGTCTTCATCTGCGAAGTTCGTCCACGTCTCGGGCGTGCAAGTCGCTGAGCGCGTTGGGCGCGACCCCGGAAAAAAAGCAGGAGATCATGCACGAGTACTGGGCGAAACAGTTTTTGGCCACGGAGATCTCCCCTGACGCCCGGGATGAACTCCTTGAACGGTTCGGGCGCCGTTGGGATATGAGTGGGCGACGCCCGCCTGACACAGCAGTGTCTTCCTCCTACCTCAAGTGCCGCAGTCGATCTTCTCCTGGTCCCGATGGGATTCCACGCCCTGCTCTCCAGAACTCCACCGTCATCGAAGCTATTGCCGAGGTAGCTGGATTGTGCTATCGCGGCATCTTGCC